TCTCTGCTTGGGATTTGAGCTTGCTGGTGCACCCGTATATTACACAAATAACCGTAATTGTTGATACTCTGGTCCCGGGAGCATACGCAGGTACACACGGAGTTCGCCAAATGACACGTGTTGACAATAGTGACGTCACCGAGCTGTGCATTGTGGGTAATACAAGTGCTGGGTGAACTATCCTTACGAGTATTTTATCCTTTACATAAACATCCCATCGTGACTATGAATGTTGCGAGTAATGTAAGGTCACGGAGGGGGATTCTTTGTTGGTTTTATTCAACTCGTGTCGTCTTGAGAACCTCGCTGAGGCACTTTAGTTTTAAACAGCTTTATTAGTGATTCCTTTTGTTTACTGGTTTCTATCGTTTTGTTTTTGTAGTAACTCAACAGTCATTTACGTCAGCTACATACCTCACGGCTCTTCACTAGCTATTTTATTATGTGTTTTTCTTTTATTTTTGTTTTGTTCTGATCTTTTGTTATTTCCTTGAGGTTTAGATTCATTAATACGTTGATCGGTGCCTTGGGGAAATTGCTTTGTATAAATTACTGTATACTTGTATAACATTTTCTTATAACAGAACCAAATTACTAACACTGATATTACAGTTAAGATAAATATATAGGCAGTGAGTTCTCTAATAATGCAAATTTAATATAATTTATGTAAGAAACTTCAATTTGTCAGAGACTATGCTGAGGTGACTGAAGGTTAAGGCTGTGCAGTATATTCACAAGTTCAGAAGTTCAGCGTGTGTATTTCTGCCTCAATGTGTATAACTAAGAAACTATTTACGAGGGCATGTGGAATAAACCATGAAGTATTAAGACGATTCACACCATTCTGAAAGAGGTGGTTGACTGGTGGCGGTTGGTAGGTGTTGTTGTGGTGGTGGTGGTGGTTGGTAGGTGTTGTTGTGGTGGTGGTTGGTAGGTGTTGTGGGTGTGGCGAGAAACACTCTAGATCAGTGACGTGTGAGTGCTGCTTTTATATCCACAACTTTTGTCACCTCACCTGCCATCAGCCACCCCCGTCTCGTAAAAGAAGGCAGGTGAAGGTGTGCTCTGGGTACATTACATTCCATAATGGTGTTGATCGCCATAAACAAGCGTCACTTCAGGCAGAAAGAAGTTAATGTTTGTCTGGCGAAGCTTCGTAAGTGTTTCATTGCAGGATGAAGGAGAACGCCAGGCTCACTTGATTGCTCGTGCTGACGGCAATAAAGAGTGCCACTGCAGTCAGAAAACTGGCAAAGGTTCGTCAACAATTCATATCTTCCACATTATAACTATGTGGTCTGCCTTCCCTTGTTTGGTCCTCGGCAGCCTAGTCACACAGCCACTCCACACGACACTCGTCCCTACAGCAGTAATGGCGGGGCGACGTGTAGAGGACTAGAGAGAACCACACAGTACTGAGTTATGAGGAATAGTGTGACGGGCCTCTCTCTCTCACATGACACCAACATGCCTCCTCAAGCTCTATTTGGTCTTCGTTGCCTGTAACTCTTCCTATTCTCATCTCTACACCCTTTCTTCTTCCTTTTTTCCTCCTTCATTCCCTTCTTCCCTTCTTCCCCCCATCGCCAAGGAGGTCACAAGACGGCGCAGTAAAAAAAAAAAAAATCGTGTGATGTAGCAAGGGGGGTCAAATATAGCTGTGTTTACATATTTGTATAGCGATTCATGAGCCAAGTTGCCAAGAGAAACCATCTTCCCACTGGAGCAGCATCTTCAGGGCTCCCGACGCTGAAATATTACGCGAGTTCAGCAAAACATGTGTATTTCTCTCCTAGTTCACCTCCAATGTGTGACAGGCGCTTCTAACACGTATATCTTAATAGGACCCCAAAAAAAAAAGTGATAGTTGTCTTAGCGCTGAAGAAGACTTTGAGGTTTTGTATGTTGTGAAAAGCTTCGTCTTATACTGAAGGTGGAGAGTGTTAGACAGCGTTCTTAAAATACAGTTTACATATTTGTAATTTTTTTTCTTCGTTGTTTACGTTAAGAAGAACTTTAAGATTATATACTAGTAAAACTTTTTGTCTTAGTGCAGAAAGTGGGTGTTTAAACGTAGCTCTAATAAATGGGTTAATATAGGTAATAATATTCTTGTGTTCGTAAGTTCAGACCAACGTTGTGTTTACCTTATTGTTTTATGAAGGCCATCGAGTGTATAACCTAAACTTATTATTGATGGTTTGTCTTCTTGATATTATAACACTGACAGAAATAAATAAATAAATAAATAAATAAATAAATAAATAAATAAATAAATAAAAACTTACGAAAACATAAAAAATTCAACTAACACGTATTTTCTTTTGTTAGTTTAGGTATAAGATAAAAGTAGAATATCACACCAGTGGTCTCGTGTTTACTGTATATATTTAGCTTAGGATCATTGACTTCATATACCAAAAAGCATTAAGACTTCCCATTAGAATTTCATACGCTATAAAAGTTTATATGAGGGAGTAAATTGTGGGTGTGTCAGGAACGGACTGGCTGGCGGATTCCCTAAGATTCGTAAGCTTATAAAATCTCACTTAACTGGAGCTAAGAGAATCGATCTAAATATGGTGTACAGCCGCCGTGTGTATTATCTTAATTTAGCTGAGTCATGTGTGTTTTTATGTTCTCAGCTACGGGAAAAATTAACGTGGGGATTTTTTTTTTATGTAGGCCCTATTTATATTTTTATTTCTTTATTTATTTATTTTTTGTTTTGTTTAGTTGACGGCGAACGTTCACAAGTTCTTTTTGCTGAAAATTATTGATCATCTGATAGATTTTGTTAATTTTTTATCGTCTTTGGCTTATCAAAGGTTTAAAAAAAACACACACAAGGAAATTATCCCTATTAAGCGTAACGTGTGTGTGTGTGTGTGTGTGTGTGTGTGTGTGTGTGTACAAAGCATAATAAAGAAGGGGAAAAGAGAAGACGAAAATAAAATAAAAAGAGAGGCAGCAAGGGAGGCGGGGGGGGGATGGTGGAGCTTGTTATCATTATGTAGGTTATAAAGATTAGTAATGATTTAACAGTACAGTTTAAACTCTCTCAGTGTGATGCTGAGACAAAACACTGACTCGTGTACACTCTTGTTCAGTGTAGTATTGTTTATGTCTCTGTTTTATTATTGTTTGCTTATCTTGATGCCTCTCTCTCTCTCTCTCTCTCTCTCTCTCTCTCTCTCTCTCTCTCTCTCTCTCTCTCTCTCACTCGATTTGTTTTCGTTCTTACAATGTTTCCACAATAAAAAGTGCGTGCAAGTCTTTAGGAAAACTGTCAAGATTGCGTGCGTTTTGTTGTTGTCTGACTGTGGACGTTGTGGTGTGCTAGCGAGGTGAATCTGTCTAGTGCTAAATGTGTTTTGTACTGTGTGTGTTTGTGTTAAGTGTGTGTGTGTGTGTGTGTGTGTGTGTACAGTCTGGAGTGTACACAATAAACGCTGCCTTCTTGATGTACTGTACACGTACAATATTCATACATAGTAAATAGAGTCATGCTCGTATTAACACACATCACTCAGTAAACAATTCAGTAAACTCAGTAAACATTTCGGTAAAAAAAACTCTGTTAACAACTCAGTAAACTCGGTAAACAACCATGAGACAAAATTCACAGCAGTTCAATGATTTTCTATGATTCGTGTACTGAAGACGCGTTTATTTAGCCTCAGCGTATTTTTAATTCTCATTTTATCGTCATCATTGAATCTCTTAGTTACGTTCTTCAGATGAGGAGCAACACACCACGCAGATAACTTCCACACCACACTACCACCATCACCACCACACCACTCCATCACCACCACACCACACTACCACCATCACCACCACACCACTCCACCACACCATCATCACCACACCATTCCATCACCACCACACCATCATCACCACACCATTCCATCACCACCACACCATTCCATCACACCATCACCACCACACCACTCCACACCATCACCACCACACCATTCCGTCACACCATCACCACCACACCACTCCATCACACCATCATCACCACACCACCACTCTCAGACAGGCTTAAACCACGTCCTACCTGGTAATCCCGAGGTGAGTTATGTTACTCTCTGACTGCAGCCTCCCACCATCTGTCTTATTTAAAGCGATTATGAACCGAGGCGCCCGTCTGAGGTGCTGTGATCCGGGATGAAGGTGTGAATCCGCGGCTGAGTATTGACGTTCATGTAAGTATGGCCCTAACCGAGATACAAGACACTCTTAACTTGCGCTTTGTAAAATATATAATCATCGTTTTGGTGAGAATAGGTACAGCTGTTTCCTAGATCTTGGCTGGGAATTGGGTGAGGAAGATAATCAGAAAATTAATGGAGGTATAGATAGTGTTATTTTTAGATTAATAGCAAGATATAGTTCTACGTTTTTGTGCGTATTTATAAGAATCCGGAGAAAAACTTATACCACCTTGACTTCCACACTAAATATCACTAAGTAGGTGTTGTACAAATACATCTCCGCCCCTACTTGTCTACACTGAGCCATACATATTACTGGGTACGTATCCCCCCCCCCCTCCACTGCCTTATTTAGTCTATTTAAAACCAGTTGTAGAGTGATAAAAATAAAGAACACTGACTGTGATTCTTACTTTTCCCGTCTATTTTTACTGGATGTATTAATACTTACATTCGTTTTGTTTTTATTCTCGTACGTCGTAACAAAATGCGATAGAGAGGCGAACTAGTTAATCTATGTCTGTCCGCACGTCAGCACAAATGAATAGACTGACAGATGAAAAGTGATAAATTATTAGTAATATTTAACTATTCTTATTTATATTTTTTCTTGATTTCCGAAGGTCAAAAACAGATTCAGAGACAGTTACTTCTAGAGAGAGATACTAACTTTCTTTATCTCTCCGCGAGACTAAATTATAAAGGAAATCTAAATAATACACAGACTATCACACCTTCCAATTAACAAGAGAGACTAATACTGTTGTCTTTCCACAGGTCAAGAGCAGCATGGATCGGGAGGAGGTGGAGGGGGTGCTGCAGGAGCCTCGTCCACCTCGAGTCTGGACTGTCTCTCTCTCATCGTGGAGTCCATCAGTCCAGCCAACACCGGCATCATCAACACAGTGGCTGACAAGAACACCTCCTAGTACCATGTCGCAACACACCAGCATCGAGTACACCCAGATCACACACGACAAGATGAATCACATAACAGAGGCTGAATCACTAGTAATTTTCTCCATGTGTTTGAAAAGACCCTCAGCAAACTTTTTATCGTGATTCATTTGAATTTATGTTCGAACTTGAAACTGACCAAAGTTCATGAAAGAGTGAGTAAAGCCTTCTAGAAGACTGATAATGTGATGTGACTTTAACTAGAGAAGTGATCGCTGTGTGGCATGTGAAAGATGTTTCTATGTTGGTGAGACAGAGACAATTATGCAACCAGAAGTCTGCCGTCACCGTTTATGATTTTGTGACCACGACTTCAAAATACCTATATGGGGACTCAGTACTTAATGTCTTTTATTACTATTATATACCGAAGGTTGTGTTGGCAACTAAGATTCGTACTTCAGGACAGCACCAGCACGGACAAACTACCGCGCAAGGCGTTTCCCTCCAACCCACAATGACACGCTTATGGAAGCTACACCTTCTGCTTACAATGACGCTATTTTAGTGTACGAGTTAGTTCTGCTGGGTGAGATGATGAGATAGAAGCTGTTGTGTGAGGGGCGCCGCCTGGGGCCTGTGCAGGGGGCCGCCCTAACAATTGTATATGTCCGTTTCCCAGTCATAGAAATGTGATGTACTTTTTCTATTATAGTTTTAGATTTGTACATTATACAACCGCTCTTATACCCCACAAGTTTTTTTATAGTTCAAATGTATAGATTATCAAAGAAGAAAAGATTCTATGGTGATAATCAGTGACTGAAGAGGACACATTTCTTTGAGAAACTACATGTTGTTTACACTTCTGTGCCACAATTTGCATGAATCCAAAATGAATGTTGTAACTGTTATGTTATAGATGATGCTTACTCACTTTTCTCAAAGAAAAGAATTACAATGGTAACTTACTGTACGTTATCACTGTAAATATCAATGCATTTGTTTGCATTTCCTGTCTCTGCCAGTCTATATTTTTTTCTTTAGTGAAGTAATGGACAGGTGTAGCTGTCAGAGGCGAGTGTTAACAGGATCACTGAAGTATATTTTTGTTGTCATTATGTGTTTGTCAGACCATAAATAATGCCAAAGAAATGAGAGCATCGACATTTGTCTGTTGACTGGGAGGACACGAGGACCTGGAGCTGGTCGGGGCCGGACACGAGGACCTGGAGCTGGGCGGGGCCGGACACGAGGACCTGGAGCTGGGCGGGGCAGGACACGAGGACCTGGAGCTGGGCGGGGCAGGACACGAGGACCTGGAGCTGGGCGGGACACGAGGACCTGGAGCTGGGCAGGGCAGGACACGAGGACCTGGAGCTGGGCGGGGCAGGACACGAGGACCTGGAGCTGGGCGGGGCAGGACACGAGGACCTGGAGCTGCCACAACACCTGAAGGTAGACGGACTCAAGTTGGAAGCATCAAGATAAGTGGTGAGCCGCGATATCTCACAACTTGAAGAGGACTGAAAGCCGAAGACACCTCATAAACATGAGTGAACTTTAGTGGAAGACGCCTGATGGAGGAAAAACACCAGGCCGACAGTCTCAACCTCTGACAGTCTTATAATAATCAAGGTAGGATAGCCTGAGTTTAACAGTTTCAGGGTGTGACACTGAGAGCTTAACAGTCTCAGGATGTGACAGTCTACGCGTCTCCGGGTGTGACAGTCTGAGAGTGTGGTAAGTGTCCTCGTTGTCACCTCCAGCTGGCAGTAGCCAGTAAGGTGTTCACGCACAAAAAATACTGCCTATGTGAATAAACACAAGTAAGATGATTTTGGTGTTTATATTCAGCCTCATACAAACCTGAGTGAACAGATGATAAGTTTAGCTGTTTTACTGAACAAAACATTCACACTGTGAGCGTTTATACCAGACTGAAGAAACTTATTAACTACTGTTTTGACCTCACATGAAAATGTTCTCTAAAACACCGCCTATTAAGACGAACATTTTATCCAACCCATACAGTGTGTGTGTGTGTGTGTGTGTGTGTGTGTGTGTGTGTCATGAGGGATATTGATACTTCAGAAAGGAAATATTAAAACAGGAATTTACAACAGGAAAATAAGGCAATATAATTCAGCTATCACCTTCGATATTCCTCCCGTTAAGAAATTATATCACCATCTGCAGTGTTACGTCCAGCGTGTGCAAGAAAACTATGATTTATGATAGAGATAAAGAAATTCACATAGAGACAATAACGGGACTCTCCTATGGCGTGTAGTCGTGTAGGAGATAGTGCAGCTGGCGTCTTGGGCCAAGTCCTGCCTCAACTTTGTACATTATTGAGGCAAACAGTCATAAACTCCATACTGCAGACGGCGTCGACGTAGGTGAGATGGAAGGGAGGTCAGGAGCTAAGCAGTCCTTAAGCAGATGGTCATATACTTGCTGGTACAGGGGACGTCGACCCAGCGATGATTGTAGCTAACGTGAAGTATCGCGCAGTTATAGGTATTACCGTTGTTAGGTTCCCCGTAGTGCCAGTAAGGGACACCCATAGGTACTTGTCCTTTGTTGTGCTCCCACAGCCACGAGCCCTCCTTCGCCGCGTCTGATGCCCCCAGCCAGTAGTTTTGTTTCATCACAAATTCTGAAGAGAAACAACACAGAGAGTCAGTATGAACCTTCCATGAAATTCTTCAGCTCTCTGTCCTTCTATTGGTTTACATGTCTGTTTGTCTGTCTATGTGTCTTCAATTCACTCATGTATGACTTCTTAAACATTTATGCTATCAATCTTTCTGTCTGTGTATCAACATACGAGTATACGACTGCCTACGAACAGAACATTATCCTTAAACGTTAAGGACTCTTCATAACGAAGCAATAATAAAGTTTCTGGGTGTGTCAAAAAGAACCCTTAAAGTTGTAATCAGGAAAGAACTTACTGATGAATTTGACGTAAGCAGACAAGTGCAAACAGGAAATAGTCAATCCATTGTTTACCATGATGAGATGTATCAAGTAAAAGAGGTATAAGGAGCAAGTAACAAGAGCACTAGATTACAAAATGTTGTAACCGCTAGACCAAGGTTAGGATATACAGTAAGTACCTCTGGCAGTTCACCTCCTCAATCCGATAAAACTACTGTATATGTAAACTGTGTGGCTACACATATAGCCACACACGGGGACAGGTCCAAGCATATTGTGTGTGAAATGGCACAGAACTTCGTCTGTGATGGCAAGATAGTGGATATATTAAGACCGTATCCTCAATCTACACCAAGTGGCTAAATCAGTTCTTTTGTACAGGAATAAACGCACAATTTACGTGAATGACTCTTATGTGGATGTGAATAACATTAAATGTAAAGTCAACTCTTATGTACAGAACTAAAGAAACAATGTACTGGAAATACTCTGTAACACCCAATGCCTTAATATCCTGGACTACTGGGGTCTGTCATACACACCCGTTGTGATCTCTACTCTGTAATCCTTTTTGCGCTACAGCTCACAGGATGAGTATGGGGTGCACAATAAACTAACCTTCCTACTCCATCCCTCCCTCATCCCTTCATTCCACTCTATAACTCCCCCACCCATCCCTCACAATCCACCCCCTCCTCCCTCCCAACCCTTCTCCCCAACCTCGACTCCATACCTCCCTAACCTCCTTCTCACTACCTCCCACCCTTCCTCCCACTTCGTCCGCCTCCGATTCCAACATTCACTTTTCTGTCCCTCCATCATTCTTTTATCCGTCCCTCCTACTCACCTTCTTCATTAATGTAGTCGTAGATGTTGATGAGGTCGTCAGTTTCTACGGCGACTAATTGACCGCCGTGGCTCTTGCAGAAGGCCAGAGCTTCACTGTAGGTGCGAGCGATGAACGGGTCGATCAGGATACAGTGGACGTCGTCCAGGATTTCAAACGGGTCGGGACACCGACTAGCCCGGTGGTCCGTCAGACGTCCTGCTTGGGAGGAGGTCATTACATGGATGAGTTCAGTGGTCACTTACACCCATCCCTTATAAGAGTTGCATTGACACATACGTTAAAAGTCTTTAGTTGCTGCCAACACCGACTCAAATATGACTACAGTTGACAGGACCCCTGCGAGGAAGACGGTCACTTCCGGCTAACTAAGTCTCTGTCCAACTCTATAAACTCTATGCTTCACCAACCTAAACCATTCTAACCTAACTATGTTACTGTCATTTGTACAGCGGTGGCGGCAGAGAAAGAAAAGTGGTACCTGTGACCTGTGATTGCATACATAAGAAACCTGATACCTGTGACTGTATACATGATACCTGCGACTATATACATGATACCTGCGACTATATACACGATACCTGTCAGTATACATGATACCTGTCACTGTATACATGATACCTGTCACTGTATACATGATACCTGTCACGTATACATGATACCTGTCACTGCATACATGATACCTGTCGCTGTATACATGATACCTGTGTCTATATACATGATACCTGTGACTGTATACATGATACCTGTGACTGTATACATGATACCTGTCACTGTATACATGGTACCTGTGACTGTATACATGGTACCTGTGACTGTATACATGATACCTGTGACTGTATACATGATACCTGTGACTGTATACGATACCTGTCGCTGTATACATGATACCTGTGTCTATATACATGATACCTGTGACTGTATACATGATACCGTGACTGTATACATGATACCTGTGACTGTATACATGATACCTGTCACTGTATACATGATACCTGTCACTGTATACATGATACCTGTGACTGTATACATGATACCTGTCGCTGTATACATGATACCTGTGTCTATATACATGATACCTGTGACTGTATACATGATACCTGTGACTGTATACATGATACCTGTGACTGTATTACGTACCTGTGATTATACATGGTACCTGTGACTGTATACATGATACCTGTGACTGTATACATGATACCTGGACTGTATATGATACCTGACCGTATACATGATACCTGTCACTGTATACATGATACCTGTCACTGTATACATGATACCTGTCACTGTATACATGATACCTGTCGCTGTATACATGATACCTGTGTCTATATACGATACCTGTGACTGTATACATGATACCTGTGACTGTATACATGATACCTGGACTGCATACATGATACCTGTGACTGTATACATGGTACCTGTGACTGTATATGGTACCTGTGACTGTATACATGATACCTGTGACTGTATACATGATACCTGTCACTGTATACATGATACCTGTCACTGTATACATGATACCTGTCACTGTATACATGATACCTGTCACCGTACATGATACCTGTGACTGTATACATGATACCTGTGACTGTATACATGATACCTGTGTCTATATACATGATACCTGTCACTGTATACATGATACCTGTCACTGTATACATGATACCTGTCACTGTATACATGATACCTGTCACTGTATACATGATACCTGTCACTGTATACATGATACCTGTCACTATATACATGATACCCACTGTATACATGATACCTGTCGCTGTATACATGATACCTGTGTCATATACATGATACCTGTGACTGTATACATGATACCTGTGACTGTATACATGATACCTGTGACTGTATACATGATACCTGTCACTGTATACATGGTACTTGTGACTGTATACATGGTACCTGTGACTGTATACATGATACCTGTGACTGTATACATGATACCTGTGACTGTATACATGATACCTGTCACTGTATACATGATACCTGTCACTGTATACATGATACCCGTCGCTGCATACATGATACCTGTCGCTGTATACATGATACCTGTCACTGTATACATGATACCTGTCACTGTATACATGATACCTGTCACTGTATACATGATACCTGTCGCTGTATACATGATACCTGTGTCTATATACATGATACCTGTGACTGTATACATGATACCTGTGACTCTATACATGATACCTGTCACTGTATACATGGTACCTGAGACGGCGGCGACGAATACCACCAGGAAGAAGACAAGAGTGTTCATGTTGGTGGTGTGTGACCTGAAGGTGCAGGAGTAGGCCGCCCCCTTCTCCCCAGGGTATATATAGAGCATATGTGTGGTGGTGGTGGTGGGCACCTCAACACCTGCTGCCTACACCCTGATAACCAACACTCAGACTGGTATCCGGTCATTTGTTATCTGTAAACTGTGCGTCTGTTATCCCGGCCCCATAGTTAAGGGTTGTGTAACGTGGAATTTTCTGTCTTATTTCGCAAGAGATTTTTGCTATCTAAGTTACTTTCTCCCATTACAGAAATGGAGCTTTTATATAAATTATTCTTAGTGTGAAGAGTTTGTTGTAAAGTATCTCTCGACCTAATTCCATTTTATTGTTTGGATTGTAAAGAAATTATAAACCACAATATGTTTCTGTGTGGCAAGACGGGCGACTCCCTCGAGATCAGATGGGAGCGATGGCAGGGAGTTTGGCCTCACAGGTCACCAAACACTGTATCCTGGTTAAGATCTTTTTATTCACATCTTGTAATGTAAACCAATAAACACCGTGTTATGTTTTATCAGCCAGTGACCTCTTGTGTCTGTCCTGCCTTGACGTAGAGTGAGGGGCGACATGATCGAGGTGTATAAATGGAAGTCGGCTAAACAAAGGTGATATACCAAAGGTACTCAAACTATCCAACCAGGAGTGAACTCGCAACAATGGTTTTAAATTAGACAAATTTAGATTCAGGCGCGAAATAGGTAAACATTGGTTTGGAAATAGAGTAGTGGATGAATGGAACAAGTTACCAAACATCATCATTAACTCGAATACGCTGGATAGCTTCAAACATAGGTTGGATGGATATATGGAAACAAGACATATTAAGAATGATAATAAGTGATACGGCAAAATTGTAAATATAAGAGAATGTGTAATGACTTTACAACAACCTTACATAACAAGAGGTGATATAATACAACAAGGAGGTCAATAAAAAATTCTCAACAAGACTGTATAAATAAAAAGTGACAATACAGTATTTTATGATAATTATATAAATAAGGTCAACACAATAATACTCAACACACACATATAGGTTTGTAAAGGCGTAGCCATTTTATTTGAATATAAACACTTACAATAAGACATAACTCACTGTATCTACAATATATAATTTTTTCCCTCCGTTCATCAATGTGTTACTTTGTTTAGGCTTCACTTAGACCCTGAGTACAGTTGCTGCGGGTTGTGGTCCATAGTTAAGAGGTTTCCGGGACAGGCTTCACACGCTACGCTACACCAACACAAAGATCTGGTCTCTTGGTCACACGGACTGGCGAGACGGTCCTGTGAGAGTAGACCAAACACGATATAAAGAAGTAATAAAGTCAGTGTTTACCTGTATCAGATTCTTCAAGGTAATTCATCTTATATACAATATTGTATAAACTATTATCAGAGGAAAAAATAAATTTCATTATGACAAACACAAAAACGTACACATGAAACGGAAAAAAAGCATCTGGGCGTAAATATGTACTGTACGTGCATATATATAAACATACATAATAATAATAATAATAATAATAATAATAATAATAATAATAATTAACGGTTTATTGAAAAAAATTCTGCAGCCCGAAGGCTGAAAATATACATTGGACATAAATGACTTATTACATACATTGGTGGTTTAACAAAAGCCTTCATTAGAGAAAGGTAAAGGAACATACAGTGAACATACAGATTAATGTAGGTGTTGAACAGCAAACTCGTAGTGTAGTAACTCCTCCAGATGGTGTGTGTGTGTGTGTGTGTGTGGAGCACAACCTAGTGTCCCCTGGTACACCCTAATATACCCAGGTACAATCTAGTCGACCGAGGTACACTGTAGTCCACCGTGGTACACCCTGGTATAACCTTGGTTAATTTAATTGATCAACATTATCTTATACAGCTCAGATCAAAACATTAACCAAACATACAAGTGACGAGCTCTACCAGAGAAGCAACTCAAGAGCTGGACTTAAGGTGTAGAGAGTCCCTTCCTGAACACTGCCCAGCTAAGTAAACTGAAAATATCAACATGGCCGCGGAACTGTGAAGTGACCGACTCTCCTTCCTGGGTAACAGGTAGTGACAAATCATATTACATCAGAATCAGATCAAAAACTAATACATAACAATGAAGACGCTGACAGTCGCCGGCTGCCCTCTGTAGTTGTAAAGTTCCTGCCATAGATGTGAGCCAAGATAACAATAATGATATTCATGGGTCAGGGAAGTATAGTGGAAGCGTCACCTCAATCTCTCACCAACTGGCTCTGCTCTTGGGCCAGATACAGGGACAACTTAGACTGGACATTATTTATCCAGGGGCTGTGGTGATTCAGCGGAAACAATTATTGTTTATGGAAGACAAGTGGTCTTAAACTTATATGGGATCATTAAAATTTCAGAAATACAATTACCATTGGCAGATCATTTGTTACTGATGCTGTCATGATGTTCACAACTTATATCAGGCAACTTTAGGAACTTAAACGACAAGCTATGATAAATTAACACCACACAAGGATATCGAATAAGCACCAAAGGCGTGTAAATTACAAAGTCATCATCTGACAAGGTTGGTTTGACTCAAGACCATTAGTGCCGACACCACAAGATAAGGGCTGGAAAGTTGATGGTGATGATTCATGGTGTGTGGCCTCCAGCACCACTATAGACTGTGAGCACAAGAAAAATACTCAGGAATAACACACACGCTAAACACACCGTTCAATATGTACTTGTGGTTACACCTATAACTCAGGTGATTGTTTAGAACACACCAACATCTAGAGACACCGCCGAGAACAACCTGCAGTTCGAGGAGGATTCAGACGTTGAATGAGATAAACATAATAACACAACCTGCAGGGAATGAAAGTAAGTCTCAGAGGGGTAGTACGTACATAACTCACTATATACTAAGCCATCAGTACACAAGTAGGCAGTATAGCTGTCACTGCAATCGATCACCTTCACTTTCCCATCTGTAAAGTTAGGTTCACGTTCACAGCTGCCAAACAAATATACCAATAAAATAATTTCTACAAATACAAACTGACCACAACATAGATCACACATGTCATTATATACTGTAGTAGGTAGTGAGGCAGTACCTTTTTTTAAGTTGCTTCTGTGAGTCTGATCAACTTTCTTTCTTATTTAATAACTGTGAGTCTTTATATAAGTATTGTTTATGTGGTCAGACTACCTGTGTGTTATTAGCACCACCACCACCTGTGTCAATAACAAGACAAGCCCCACCACCACTCCAGTCACACAAGACAAGCACCACCACCACCTGTGTCAATAACAACAAGAAGCCACCACCTGTGTCAATAACAACAAGACAAGCACCACCACCACCACCTGTGTCAACAACAACAAGACAAGCCCCACCACCACCTGTGTCAATAACAACAAGACAAGCACCACCACCACCTGTGTCAAATAACAACAAGACAAGCCACCACCACCTGTGTCAATAACAACAAGACAAGCACCACCACCACCTGTGGCCACAACAACGAAAGCCCCACCACCACCTGTGTCAATAACAACAAGACAAGCCACCACCACCACCTGTGTCAACAACAACAAGACAAGCACCACCACCACCTGTGTCAATAACAACAAGACAAGCACCACCACCACCTGTGTCAATAACAACAAGACAAGCACCACCACCACCTGTGTCAATAACAACAAGACAAGCACCCACCACCTGTGCAACAACAACAAGACAAGCACCACCACCACTCCAGTTCAATAACAACAAGACAAGCACCACCACCACCTGTGTCAATAACAACACAAGACAAGCACCACCACCACCTGTGTCAATAACAACAAGACAAGCACCACCACCACCTGTGTCAATAACAACAAGACAAGCCCCACCACCCACCTGTGTCAATACAAGACACAGCACCACCACCACCTGTGTCAATAAACAAGCCCCACCACCACCTGTGGCCAATAACAACAAGACAAGCACCACCACCACCTGCAACAACAAGACAAGCACCACCTCCACCTGTGCCACAACAACAAGACAAGCCCCACCACCACCTGTCAATAACAACAAGACAAGCACCACCACCAAAACAGCACCACCACCACCTGTGTCAATAACAACAAGACAAGCACCACCACCACTCGCACAACACAAGCACCACCACCAAGTAAAAAAACAACCACCCCCAACAACAAGACAAGCACCACCACCACCTGTGTCAACAACAAACACCACCACCAATAACAACAAGACAAGCACCACCACCACCTGTCAATAACAAGACAAGCCCCACCACCACCTGTGTCAATAACAACAAGACAAGCACCACCACCACCTAGCCAATAACAACAAGACAAGCACCACCACCACCTGTGTCAATAACAAGACAAGCCCCACCATCACCTGTGTCAATAACAACAAGACAAACACCACCACCACCTGTGTCAATAACAACAAGACAAGCCCCACCACCACCTGTGTCAATAACAACAAGACAAGCACCACCACCACCTGTGTCAATAACAACAAGACAAGCACCACCACCACCTGTGTCAATAACAACAAGACAAGCACCACCCACCACCCTGTGCCAATAACAAGACAAGCCCCACCACCACCTGTGCCAATAACAACAAGACAAACACCACCACCACCTGTGTCAATAACAACAAGACAAGCACCACCACCACCTGTGTCAACAACAACAAGACAAGCACCACCACCACCTGTGTCAATAACAACAAGACAAGCACCACCCCACCTGTGTCAATAACAACAAGACAAGCACCACCACCACCTGTGTCCAATAACAACAAGACAAGCCCACCACCACCACCTGTGCTAACAACAAGACAAGCACCACCACCACCTGTGTCAACAACAAGACAAGCACCACCACCACTGTGTCAATAACAAGACAAGCACCACCACCACACCTGTGCGTCAATAACAAGACAAGCACCACCACCACCCTGTGTCAATAACAACAAGACAAGCACCACCACCACCTGTGTCAACAACAAGACAAGCATCACCACCACCTGTGTCAAATAACAACAAGACAAGCACCACCACACCTGTGTCAATAACAACAAGACAAGCACCACTCCACCTGTGTCAATAACAACAAGACAAGCACCACCACCACCTGTGTCAATAACAACAAGACAGCCCACCACCACCTGTGTCAACCAATAACAACAAGACAAGCACCACCACCACCCAGTCAATAACAACAAGCCCCACACCACCACCTGTGTCAATAACAACAAGACAAGCACCACCACCACCTGTGTCAATAACAACAAGACGCCACCACCACCACCTGTGTCAATAACAAAAGACAAGCAACCACCACCTAGTCATAAAACAAGACAAAAAACAAGACAAGCACCACCACCACCTGGTAAAAAAAGACAAGCACCACCACCACCAATAAAACAAAACAAGACAAGCACCACCACCACCTGTGTCAATAACAAGACAAGCACCACCACCACCTGTGTCAATAACAAGACAAGCACCACCTCCACCTGTGTCAATAAAAAAAGCACAAAAACACACCACCACCTGTTCAATAAAACACCACACCACCTTGCCAATAACAACAAGACAAGCACCACCACCACCTGTGTCAATAACAAGACAAGCACCACCTCCACCTGTGTCAAAACAAAACAACAACACCACCACCTGTGTCAATAAGACAAGCACCACCTCCACCTGTGTCAAATAACAACAAGACAAGCACCACCTCCACCTGTGTCAATAACAACAAGACAAGCACCACCACCACCTGTGTCAATAACAACAAGACAAGCACCACCACCACCTGTGTCAAATAACAACAAGACAAGCACCACCACCTGTGAGATAAAAGTCATATCCCCAGTGCCACCACCTGCAGATCCCGCCAAGCTGAGTATATATGGGATCATTCACGTCGGCGTCCTTGAAGCAGACCAGACCATCACCACAGTGACCATCGACGTCGAACGGTCCCCCACACACCTCCCCCGGGGCCTGTGTGGTGATAAGCATAGAGGAGGTCAACTTGGGTTAATTGACAAGGAGACCTAAAATAATAATAATCATTTTACAGCCCTGTAGGTGTTTTGATGATTAGAATGAGTCTTAGTTGTTACATTAGACTCGCCATAATTTATTAGCTGAGATATACCTTAATATATTACCAGAGACTCACCTTAATATATTACCTGAGACTCACCTGAAACTCGGCTGAAAACATCACCTGAGACTCATCTGAAACTCGCCTAAAAACATCACCTGGAACTCACCTGAACACATCACGTGAGACTCACCTTCTTACAGACCAGACAACAGTGACAAGCGTCCTTCTCGATACCAAAGCGACAGTTGGCGGGGTAAGAACACTGGGCTCCCGAACAGCTACAAGACAGTCCCTCGATTCTGTAGGGAGAGTGTGTGGAGTAATGAGACAGGTGAAGCAAGAGTGTGGTAAGAGTTAGGGAAAGTCGTGTGACCAAGGGTGAGTGTGGCCAGAGCTGAAGGTAAAAGCCATACACATGTAAAATATAAACATTGGACGACCCCCGCAGCTGACCACACAACAATGATCTTGACCTTTGACCCAGTAACAATAGGGGGCGTTCTCGTCCCTAAATCCTGTTACAGGGTCTCCAGCCGTTACCAACACCTCGTCCCTCCCTGACCAGATATCCCTCCTTCTAGAGACAGGCCTGGCACTAGGGACCTGCCACGCTTTGCCATAAACAGATGAAATATACTGGGAATTTTCCATCCACATACTCATAATTCTGTCACTTTATGTAACTTGTTGACAAAACCCATGACCCTTCAGGCTTTTACGCCCTTAAAGCATGAGTCATGAAGGCAAGCATGAACTCCACATGCTTCCCCGTCACGCTGTTAACGCTTTTGCGCTTCACCTTGCACAGGATGTAAGGGGGTGCCCAATAAACTAGCCCCCTCGCAGGGCAATTTCTAAAATTCTCTAAACCCAAGACACAAATACGTCATCATCATCATCATCATCATCATCGGTACATGGAAACTAAGGCACTGTAACTATAGATTTAATTACCTTAACTATTAAATTATTATTGTCTTGAGCTTAACTACACCTAGAGTAATTAATGAAGCGATGCCATACATTATAACATCAGCTCTAAAACTGACTGAAGGTAAAAACAGAGATAAATTGTATAGGGAAAGATGCGTCCTATTAATTACCATAAATATATAGATCACATATCCTATGCGAGTGAGGTAGACTATCCTATATGTTAGTCACAGCAGATAAACCCATCCTATCTCCATGTCTAAGTGAGGTAAACCATCCTACCTTCATGGATAAGTGAGGTAAACCATCCTACCTTCATGGATAAGTGAGGTAAACCATCCTACCTTCATGGATAAGTGAGGTAAACCATCCTACCTTCATGGATAAGTGAGGTAAACCATCCTACCTTCTGGGATAAGTGAGGTAAACCATCCTACCTTCATGGATAAGTGAGGTAAACCATCCTACCTTCATGGATAAGTGAGGTAAACCATCCTACCTTCGTGTCTAAGTGGAGGTAAACCATCCTACCTTCGATAAGGAGGTAACCATCCTACCTTCATGGATAAGGAGGTAAACCATCCTACCTTCATGGCAAGTGAGTGAAACCATCCTACCTCACAGGAGGTGAGGTAAACCACCCTACCTTCTGCTAAGTGAGGTAAACCATCCTACCTTCATGGATAAGGAGGTAAACCATCCTACCTTCATGGATAAGAGAGGAAAACCATCCTACCTTCATGGATAAGTGAGGTAAACCATCCTACCTTCATGGATAAGTGAGGTAAACCATCCTACCTTCATGTCTAAGTGAGGTAAACCATCCCACCTTTCATGGATAAGTGAGGTAAACCATCCTACCATCATGGATAAGAGGTAAACCATCCTACCTTCATGGATAAAGTGAGGTAAACTGAGGCACCCACCTGAGAGTCAGCAGCAGAAGGGTAGAACACAGCCACTACTGTCCCACCATGGCGTCTCTGTCCACAGGTGTAAACAAACGCTCCCAGTGACTACACGAAACACACGAAGCGAAACTAAAACAACAGAGAGAAGTTTACAGAAATTTACCGCAAATGTAGCAAATTTGTTTATATTTGAGCAAAAGATCTATAGCGAAAACATGTGGACAATAATGAGAAATCTGTAGAAAATAATCAAGAAATGTGTGGAAAATAACCAAGAAATGTGTAGAAAATAAAGAAAAAATCGTTATAAAATAAAGTAAAATGTGTAGAAAATGGAAGAAAGAAATTTAAAATTTTTACTGAAAAATTTACTTCAGAAAAAAAATGGAAAAAAAATCTATACAAAATGGAAGGAAAACTTGGAAAATAGCGAGAAAAAATGTAGAAAACGGGAAGTAAATCTACAGAAAATGGGAGGAAAAAATCCACAGAAAAAATTAAATATATAAAAATATTTATAAAGCATATGACAAAAATATCGAGAAAAACATAACTTCTCACTAACTGTATAAAGAACAAAAAAATAGCGACACTAAATGAAATAAACAGCATAAATAAAACACTAACACACAATCACCAGGAAAATTAAGATAAATGAAGAGGGAAAACATAAAAAAATTATGGTGAATTATAGTAAAGGACCGGTCTATCTCTCGCTGAAATTAAGGATAACCGAGATATTAATTTTCCAATATTATTATAGTTGGTCAGTCACAAGTGTCGCCATGTGCTGTTTACATCTGGCGGAGGAGCTCTGACCCCCTCCCCCCCTCAGCCAGTGTTCATTACCTCAGTGTTCGCGTCTACAGCACATGTGCGGGGTCGGTGTGGGAGTTTCCTATTGGCTATATAGCGAGAGGAGACTTATTATTAGGCAAGATTTTTTTGTCTTAGTCAATGAACAATGTGTGGGTGCGTCGGGAGCGGAGATTTTAATGTTCAGTACCAGATATGGCTGAACATGTGAAAGAGCTGTGCTGACAGTGTGAGAAGAGATTATTTTACGTCAATTGCCGAGTTTCATCAGAAAAATAGTGAGGCAATTTATTTATTTTTAGAAAACACTGTATTACCGAAAAAAGGTAAGTTAAGTTCGGTTACATTTCTTTCAGTATTAGAAATATGTTTTTTCTATGGTTTTTGGTGAGTTTTGAACGACTTTTGCCTTGTTCTCCATTGGAAATCACCTGTTTCTTGTGATTTACCCAACAAAAAAATCCCATTTTCCCAACATCTTCCCTTGTTCGGGGGTTGTTATATAAAAAACGAGTGACTTTCAGCGGAAATATATATATTTATATTTTATTTTATTTTATTATTTTTCATACCGACATTAGCCCACCCGGGCACAGGTCACTGACCCACATCAGGGCCTGGGGGGCGAAAATGTACTAATAATAATAATTAATATTAAATATTTGTTTAATAAAAATACAAAATTACAAATAAAATATTAATAATGCATAGTAAATAAAGTTTATAATAAAAAATAAAAAATTAAATAATAATAATAATAATAATAATAATAATAATAATAATAATAATAATAATAATAATAACTATAAAGAACCATAAGGAAATGCAAAAATGAAAAATCAAAAGTGAGAAACAATATATGTATGTTGTGTTGTCAAAGTAAGAGAAACACTTGAGACCCTGCAATTGTGTGTAAATGAGGCAGAAAGTCAGATCAGCAACCTGGAACTTGGTCACAATTTTCGTGATGCCATATGGCAGCAGGGTCTACCATTAGACATCACATTATGCTTCCAATATCTTCCCAGGCGGTAGTACCTCCCTGTTTGATAACTGCCTACTACCTACTACCTGGCTAATATTACATTTAAAAGAATTAATAAATTTGAGATAAATATTAAACTCGGGATTATTATTACAAGCGCCCCAACCACTCCAGCAGATGACAGGACTCAATTTGTCTTACTTCTGTGACTCCAAGTAAACACACGCGTCCTTCCTCCACACCGCAGAGAACACACTAACTGGTGGGTCGACATCCTTGCAACATCCAGTATATACCTTATTAAGAAAAGACTTAAGTGTTGTACGTGATCACAAAGTTAAAACAATGGTGAGATAGTGAGGTTGTACACTCACGCTATAAATTTTAGGAGGAGAAATTTTTCGTACAAAGTTCTCGTGTCTGACTTCACATTGGTAGTCCTACGATTTACATTGTTAGTTCACCAATATATAGTTTCAGGAAAGTTATAATTTTCCCCATGTTTGAGGACATTATGTAGTGGGTGAAAACTAATTTTTTATAATAATAATAACAATAATAATAATAATAATAATAATAATAATAATAATAATAATAATAATAATTGAAATAGAGAGGTGGGTTAAAATCACGTATTCGACTGCATGTTTACACTGGGCCAGTTAGAGGACTCCAACATATTTTACAAACACGGCAGTTGAGCTCATTATAGTACGTCTAGGTCCGTTGTGTTGAGGAGAGATGTAAATATTAGCACCCGTAAGAAACACTGAGCCGCGACCTCACATGATCACTGACCACTGAGTTACTTAACGGTGCACAGCTTCCTGGGAGAAACGTCTCTGGTTGTAAATGGGCTAATTACAGACACTGAAAGAAAGAAGAACCATAAAAGAGACAGAGGCAGAAAGAGATGAAAACAGACGTAATAGAACAAAAAGGCCAAAAGACTTATAAGACTCACTTTACCACACACACAGTCTACTAACCATAGCTAGTCCGGCCCTAGAGGAGGAAGATCTTAATTAACAATAAGTCATCATGTGGCTATTCATTGCAAATATATAAAAACACATGTGCGTTGGCCGTGAATTGAACCCTAGTCACCTGGGTGGAAGGCAGATATGCTTACCACAATACCACAGTCAGCACAATAGTGTTAAGAGCTCCAGCACCATCAGTTAACCGGGCTTATCGTTCCCTCCCCGCAGTTGGTGACATTACTGTATTATGTTAACAGAAAATTTTTCTCCCCGCCTCTTGCCTGCATATTCAGGGCGCTTATACCTCGAACACGACGTAAATTGTAACAATACTTCACACGCTGCTCATGTCCTTCCTCAACACACAACTGATTATTCATATCCTAAAATGGACATGATACACACAAGCGAGAAACAGGATCTGTCTGCCAAACAGATCACTTGGTGGTAATTCTAGCTGGTTAATGTAACTGAAGTTGTCGTCATTATTATTATTATTATTATTATTAATGATCCACTAATTGTTTGGGTACTGGTATACGCCATGGTCAGGGTACAGAGACTACCGCGCCTACAGCTGGCCTCCCCGCCAAGACGGAGTTCCTCATGTTAACGGAGAGTTGGATTGACTTGTTTAGGGCGCTACTCTGACCTTAAGCCATGACAAACCTGAACCAAGTAAACACATTTAGTAAAATTAAACACTGCAAAGTAGTTTACGCTCTTCCTGTACTCTGATCTGAGAGGAAGAGTCGGTAGCTGGTTTTGTCCACATAAACCCGATAAGGAATTAGACTCAACAACGAGGGTCTTAAAACGCGTACCAAGGTTAGTAATAACATTATTCTTACAAAATTTACCCCAAAAATTATATATGAGAGATAAGATCTGTTGGTTTTCATAACGTGTTGAATCATTAGTCAGTGGTAACGCCTCAATAGTAAGAAATAAAATTAGAGTACAACAGTTAAAATATGAAGTAATTTAGGGATTAACATAATAATTGATGATGTTTGGGAGCTGACCTTAGTATTCATAAGATATATTTGATGTTGAAACGCAGTTCAATAAATCCTTCGTCGCCTTTACCGACTTCTTTCATACAACTCAAGTGAAAATTATGATCAGTCGAGGCCAGAGGATGGAGAGCCACAAAGTGTTGTTATTATAGAAAGTAATAATGGTGTCAGGGGAGCTGTGGTGGTTGTCGGCCACACACACAGTATTCTCGGCACCTACAAACTGTCATGGTCCCACTGTATCTCTGGTGTTGTCCTCGCCACTCTTAAAACACAACACCAGCAGAAGCATTACGCGTCACAGTGGGGCGTGATGATAGCGAACAGTTCCTATAGTGTGACCTCGGGTAGCGGTGAGGTCAGAGAGGGCGGGCGTGAGGAGACCTCTAATCCTTGTGGTGGGCGTGGTATCAGGAAACAGGCAACCTTGGCTTGACCCCGCCCACCCTACACCCGTACCACAGTACAGGTTTACCTCGCCTGACGATGCCATCCCCCCCTGCCTCCCTCCCCCACCCAAGGCCGCACGCCACACATCCACATCAAGGAACAAGGAAATTCATATAGTCAGATGCGGATTCAGATTTGCCTTGCGCTCTACGGTGGCTAGTTTGTTGGGCACCCCTTTCCACCCTGTGCGGTCTGGCTAAGCGCAGAAGCATTACAGCGACCAAAGGCTACGCAGCACAGTTCATACTTGTCTTCTTATGTCTTCAACAATCTACAGGTGTGAGTTGTGTTAGCAAGTTACACGTAGTGAAGGGAGAATCAGTGTAAGTAGTGAGGCAAAGTGTGGTAGGTCTCTGATGTTAAGTGCCAGGTATGTGTGTGTTGTATGAGGGATATTTGGTCGGCATTTTAGAAAATTAAACCTATAAGTCAGTATTAACTCAACAACACAATAACCTAAACAATCACCAAATATTTCCTGACCAAAGGTAACAATACATCTTTAAAACATTACTACACCAACACAATAATTTGTGCTCACTTGGCGGTACAATAGCAAGCTGCCTCCCTATCCACCCTATGATCCTTACTCCCTCCCACCTTCCTCCACTAACCGTCTCTCAGCCTCTTTTAATCTAGGAAAAAATCATGCTATGATATGCTCCCCCCACCCATCTCTCCCCCACCCCCATCTTTCCCCCACCCCATCTCTCCCCACCCCCATCCTTCCCCCACCCCCACCTCTCCTCCACCCCCACCCCACCTACCAGGGCACCGCGCCGCCTCATGACCTGCCTGACCCCGACGTGCCATACACCC